GTTCGACTACAGCTATCAGTTATTTAAACAGACTCCCATAGTATGTGTAAACAAACAATTTAAAGTGTAAATTCAAATCAAGGTGATTAAGTCTGGATAGCAAGCGACAGATCACATGATCCGTACTGTAAAAAGCCTTTGCTCAGACTGTTTAGTTTGCCGAGTGACTGTTAGCATTTAGAGCCACATAGCCGCCCATGAGAAGTTCAACGGACTAAAAACCTTATCAAAATTATTATGTCACAACGATATAAGCGGACATTCAACACTTTAATGAACTTACGCGGTCTGCTGTTTAGTGAAGTGGGTCCAAACACTCCAAAGTTCCTCCTTCTTTGCTCCTTGATCCTGCGCTGTTCCTTCCTGTTGCTGTTGTGTTCGGGGAACCACAAATGAGCATGCGCACGATGAAGGCCGACGTTTGATTGGTTCATTTGAACCCCGGAAGAAGGAAGTCAGAGAGTGGTCAGCCACAGTTTATCTATTATCTTTCCTGTCTGTTCTTTTGCTTCGCTCACACGAAATGATGAGTTGTAAAGAGCAAAAATACACTGTATGCTTACAGTTATATTTTCATTTTTTGCTTAGGGTTTTTATGAAAGCCGAAACTGATAGAAAGTCGATATAACAAAATGTGAAGTGGTGCCTTGTTCATAAGGGTTTTATTTCCAAACTAATAAGCAAAAAGGACAACTGTAAAGTATTATTTTAAGATGCTGAAAGGATTTTTTAAAAAATATGTTTACTTAAAAAAAAGAAAAATAATTTATATGTCATTAAAATATATAATCTCAATATATTTTATCTACCCATCCTAATGATTGGAAGGCTACAAAGAATAGGATGTAATAGATTAGAAAAATAAATTAAAATACGTTTTTCTTGCTTGTTTTATTTTTACCTATAAATATAACTAAAGTAGTTTTTATTGTGGCTTTCCTTTATGTTTTTTTTACATGGTATGCAGGATCTTTTATCAGGAACCCATGACATCTTGCTTTACAGGGTACAAATATGACAAAGTACATTAGCTATTGGAACCATGGGAACATGCCTTTTTAAAAGTAAGCTGATAAATTTCCAAGGAAATAGCTACTTGCCAAAACTTACCTTCCTAAATCTATATACAGAATTAAAAAGTCTAAAACAACCGCATGGTGTTAGAAACAGATCTGAACAAGGATGCTTGTAATTTTTTTTGCCACCACATATAGTACAAAGGACGTGAAGGTTTAAATAATACCCAAAACACACTGTTGGAACTGCTTGCTACATCTTGCCAATTTACCACAAAGAACATAACTGGTTTAATAAAGCTTTATTGTAAAAGCAAATTTGGTAAGAATAATTTGAGCTTGTCCAAAATCAAAACTCTAAGGCTTAGGTATTATATCTAGCTAAATATAACATTGCTTTGTCACAACTGTTAACAAGAATGAAGTCTTCTAGAAAAGTAATTAATCACTGTTTATTCCTTTAATGCTTAATTTAAATATCTCCGCTTTTTTATTGCTGACTTTTTTTTTCATGGACTCCAAAACTCCAAGTTGTGCATAAAACAGAAACTCTCATGGCTTTCAGGCTATTGTCAGTGATGTAAGCCAGTTGGTTTGCTCAGTATGAAGATCTGAGTGAGCTACCTGTCTAAGAAAAATCTACAAATTGGAACACAGGCTTTTTGTAATTCCTTTCTGTGTTTAAAAAAAGTCCTACTTGGAGTGATTTTGCAGTTTTATGAAAGGTTCAATGGATTTTTAAAGTGGTCTCAACACCTGTAAAGTGCAGTTAATGAAAAATACTGTCTTATGTCCACTAATTATAATTTAACCTCTCTCCCTCCCAAAGCCTGCAAATTCACTGAAAGTGAGATGACCCTGGGGTTCTCCATGAAGCTACAAGGTTATTGCCATTAAAAGTGAATTCAATTGGACAAAGACGGAAGAGAGGAAAAAACACAAGATCGGCTTTACTTCTTGCAACGAGTCCCGAGGCATAACAGAGACTTCCCTCATAAACATTTACCTCAGGAATCCAATTTGCAAACTTCACAGACTATCCATCCCTCTGAATCAATATGTCCAATCACCTGAGACTTAAAGACTTTCATCTGTCTGCATTAGAGGGTGTTTAGCCGTCAGTGTAACCTTCATGAAAAACACAGACAGCAAAAGGAGGAACAGCTTTGGCACAGAAAGAGAACTATAAATCTGTCTTTTAGCTTAAAGAAACACGGAGAAGCCACCTATTCTCTGGAAACATAATCAGATTTCATGTGCAGAAGTTATATCATGACCCATTTACATTTGCTTGTAAAGACATTTATAGTAGCATAACATTTTTACTTACAATTAGACAAGGAAGTCCACCTAAACATAGCTTTATTTGAGAAGCAAACGCAGCTTAAAGAATATGTTAAAAGGATTGTAAGTCTTTCATTCCGCAAATCTTTTGAGTCTGTGTTAGATTTCTTTACATTGTTGAAAGAAATCCAGAACAAGTGACGTGCCTCTCACTAAAACAAATGTGGAAAAGCTTAGAGGGTGTAAATGCTTTTACAAGTCATTAAAAACAACAGAAATAAAAGCAGTGCATTTGGTGGGTTTTTTTTTTATAGGGGGAAATTATTAGCTCTATTGTGCATAATATAAAAAGGCAACAGTTGGGACTGGTGGATCATTTGAAAGTGAAACTAAAGTAAAAGGCTTCCAGGTGAATGCGATAATACACTCTGGACGGTCACATTAAAGAACAGGGACTCATAAATGTCTGACCTTCATAATGCTTTGTGGAAGTTTATCATGGCTGCCGTAAAGCTTTCTGAGGACCTCAGTAAAAAGATGTTGGTAATCATCAGGTTTGGAAAGGTTGCAAAAAGTGATTGAAAGTTCCAGACATTTAAGACCATTGTCACCTTCCCCAGCAGAGGTCGTCAAACAATGGCCATTCTAGCAGCACAGCTTGTTAAAAAAGAAAAACATATTACAAGTAAAAACAGCAGCTAAAGGCCCTAGCGACCATTGATATCTGCCTTTGTCCAGAATGCTAAAGATTACATAAGCAAGCAAGACGGCCGATGGAAATAATAGGTTCAGATTTAAAACATTTCTGTGTGACAAAAGAAAATGTCAGAACATCTGTCTGTGAACTAAATCCAAGAAAGTGCCATTTTTCAACAATAATACTACTTTCAAAAGGTCTTTAGCAACCTTTTAAAAATGGTTGCTAAAGAAGAATAAAGTTATCGATTTGAAATGACCAAGTAAAAGTACTGACCTTTCTCAGATGTAAATGTTGTGGATGGATCCATGAGAGAGCTCAGAGGAAAGAACATCAACATCACACATAAGAAATGGAAAAAAAATAAAAAAAGATTAAATTAAAAAGAAAGTAAGTGTTCAAGTCGGTTCTTTTTTGACACTTTGATTTTTTTTTCAAAGAAAATAATTCACATAATAACACATTTTCTGCAGAAAAGCCTATAGATTTATTAGCTTGATCCATGATTGTTTACCAAAGATTGCTGCAGTCACACGCAGAAGATCCAATGACCACCCAAAACTTTCCTCAGTGCCACAACACAATCCCTGCTGTTCTACAGCCTCCAGAATCAAACAACTTCATTTACATGTGGAAGTTGTTAGTGAATCTCATTATTAAGACAACAAGCTAAGACCAAATGGCTCCCTTACCAGATCAATAAGGCTGAGGCTTCTCAGCACTCTGAGAACAAAGCAAAAGAGAGAACTGGGCACATCTTCAAATCCCTGAACCCAAACAGTTACTTAATGTCTGTTAAGCAGCTCCAGGAAGGTGGATAAATTAGTCTCTATAGAGCAAATATACAAAACATCCTCTTATAGTTTAATAAAAATGTTCTTCGGTTTGTAGGCTCTTGTTTTCTCTGTGGTTGTGAAAAAATAATAACTCTGACACATAGTCATGTGACCATGAGGCAGACCTCAGGATGGGTATTCATGCTACAAGGTGCAATGAACAACTGGATGAGATGAATATACACAAAGCAAACCAAACTAGTGAAGTGAAAGGAAAATCATAGCTGGTTTTCCATCCATCCATCCATCCATCCATCCATCCATCCATTTTCTTACACCTTTGTACCTAGTGGTGTCGGGAGAGGTGCTGGTGCCTATCTCCAGCGAGACGTTTCGGGCGAGAGGTGATGCACACCCTGGACACCTCCTGTGTTGCCCTGTGTCGCAGAGCAACACAGAGACAGACAGGACAAACAACCACACACACACACACACACACACACACACACACACACACACACACACACACACACACACACACACACACACACACACACACACACCTAGGGAGAATTTAGAGAAACCAATTAACCTGAAAGTCATGTTTTTGGACTGTGGGAGGAAGCAGTACAGAATGAGTACTTGAGTCAATATTGACTTGAATCATCTTCGACTGCAGCTAGATGCCTTCTGCCCCGTCTCAAAGCTTCTGTAGTTTCAAACAGGTTTTCTTTATTTGCCCTGTATTTAGGTACATTTATCTTCACACAAACTCTGAACAGCTTCCCTGTCCAACCTGACGACAAGCATACTAACACCATGATGGCGTCACAATCATGTTTCGGAACAACTGTATTTATACTGAGATTACGCCACACACACAATTAATCATATTTAGGATATCAGAGTAAACGGGGCTGAGTACAAATGAATGCCAAACCTTTCACCTTTTTAGTTGGACGAGAGAGAAGTAAAAGTTTTTCTTTGCACTTTTGGTCCATTTCATGGAGTTCCATCACAAAATCTGTTGAATTGAAATGTTAAATTTGTGGTTGTCATTGAAATTTGTGGTTGTAATGTAACAAACTGTGAAACCATATGAAGCCTTTTGGAAGACATTGTATGTCACACTGAAATGACAAAGAAATTGTCCTCAAGAGACTGAGACACCCATTCAAAACGCATTTACAATCCTTCAGATTCATAAAACATGCTGTGTTCGAATAGTATGTCTGCAGCTCTGGGCCTCTAATGTTCTTTTATCGACCTGCCACCTTGATGAAGTCCCTACATGTTCATGTCTGCATTTTAAACTGAAAACAAGGGCAAATAGTCCAACAGCTTTCATCTTTTCCAGGTTGTCATGGAGCTCACAGAAAGGAGTAGGTGATTATTTCCAGGGGAAATCAAACTGTACTCTGGCCTTGGTTCCTTTAAACTAACTTGATCCCAGTTGTGGAAAACAAATGATTACATCAACTTGAACGCCGTTCATCTGAGATCAGACTGGAGCAGAGCGACGATGAGCATAAACTGAAATGAAATAACGACATGTTGGTGTCAGGGATGCGTCCACACTGTGCATCACCACAATCAGAAATACAACCTCGAATGCAATAAACTTTGAGATGTTCGTCTACATAATAAGAATGAAGATGAGAGAGACTGTGGTGTGCGGGAAGCCCACACAGGACGCGGCCATTGGGCAGATCTCCGTTCCTGGCACAGATGTTGGCGCCGCACTCCTACTCTGACTCCACTGGATCTGACTCGGGAGCGCTCAGTGGATCCACAAGATGCGCACCCCAGGCAGGGAGGAGCTTCGGGAATTTCACACCACTTGTTCCACGCCACTCTTGAGTGAAGACTCGTTTCCCAAAGTAGATATTGCGGCGAAAGGTGAGTCCATTAACACGCGATTGGGATTGGTGTAGACCGTAAATTGATAATGCGGGGCTCGATATGTGTCCAAGTGCGCCAGGGAGGCGCGGAATGTGCATTTGTTCTGTTCTTGTGACGCGGGCGCGACCTGTAACTGAAACTGTCACATGTGCGTAATTTGGAGACCAAGAAACCTTTTCAAAGCGAGATGATGAAGAGTCCAAATGATGCGAGACAATTATAGTAATTTGCATGTGTTTTGGAGGGTTAAATGAGCCGCGAGAGCTGTGAAAGATATATTTAAAGAGTGAGAAAGTGAAATAAATGGTCACAAATTACGCGTCAATGCATAATTGATTGAATTGGATTATTTAAATGTCTCAGTAGATGTGAGCTGGATCCCCGCTTCAGCAGGTGCATCGTAAAAAAAAAAAAGAAGAAGAAAAAATACCTCCCGGGATAAGGAATTGTAGGAAGTGTATTTTTTGTGCCTTTTTTTTTTTTTTAATTTCTGTAAAAATGTTGCCTGAACGGAGATAAATGACATCCATTTGCTCTTGGGCATCTTTGCGCTTTTTGGTGGCTAGAGGGTCCTGCTGAGTTGCTTGACGACGGCCACATTTTCTGATTTGCTTTATAGCTTTCCAGTAAATCTTCAAGCCATTTCACTGCATACATCGCATTAATCAAAACTTCTTTAAACAGACAAGGAGAAAGATCAAATTAAAACTTTATAAACTAAGGTAACCTGGCGTGCAGCCTGTTGAATAAGCTTTTATCTTTAAATCAGCTAACACGGGTATCATATTTCTGCCTATGCTGCAAATATTACATATCAACTTTGAAAGTTGAATGGAAAAAAAAAATTCAGTAAACATGGTTCTTCTGGAGACCTGAAGCCTGCATCGACAGAGCAAACAAAGAGAATAAAAAAAGATCTCGATAAATTATGCCTGATTTCTTCTCAGTTCTTCCTCCAATAATCAAAACTTGAAATATACTATGAGTGGTGTAACAGCTCTCTAACTAATTTGCGCAATACATTTAAAAAATACAACTGAGAAAGGAGTCTGGAATTCTACAACAAAATTTCAGAAAATGAGCATAAATATGTCTTTTTAGAAGGACAAAAATTGGCTAAAACTTTGCTTTTTGTGTGTTTGGCTCATGATATAACAGGAGTCACATTAATGGGCATGATCACCTGGCATTAGTGAACATTATCTCAGACAAGCAATTTCAGCATAGATTTTATAACATGTGATTAAAACGGGGCTCAGCCTTATGTGTTTTTATCTCCTCGTATGTCTCAGGTGTATTAAATTCTTGTTTGAGTTTTTTCATCTGACTGATTAATTTAATGACCGAATGATTAAATGCACCCCATATTCTGCCCATGTAACTCTACATGACTCAGTGCAGCAGGGCCACCTGCCGTCTACTTTCATTCAGCTTACCTGATCAGTTCAACAGTTTTTCCAGTGAAAATTTATAAGAAAATGTAAGAAAATTGGTGTCGACTGGAACGATGGAGATGATTATTGGCTGTGCTGCAGGTGCACGAGTGGGTTAACAAGGAGTGACTCAGCAGTCCAAACCTCATTGAGACTTGATAATCATCCTGATGGAAAGCATCGCCCTGAACATGAGGTTTTCAAAACACCTTTCCTTAAAACGAAAATGGGAGATCTTTGATTATGAAATCTCACCGGTCGCCTACACTGGTCCTCTTCACAAACTGCTTCCATTTTGTTTGGTTGTCGAAGTAGATTAAATTTTTACAGAAAACTCTGACAAATAGACTTAAGTAGTTGCTGAAAAACATTCTCCAAGATGCCGGTGCTAATAAAGTACAACAGTTTATCTCTAATATGGAGTTCGCGTGTTTATTAATTAAAAGCCTTTTCTTACACTACGTGGCAAATAACAACATTAGGATCAATCTCCCAAACCATTAGCTGACAGTCTAACCCACCAGTAGCAATATATCTGTATGCAGCAGCAGCACTTTGCCTGCATATGTAAATTAACATGAAAAACAAGATGTTGAATTGCATTTATTTTTTTCCTTAATATTAGGCCTGCAGTTGTTCTCTTTAATATGAGCTGCAAGCTGTGTAGGCACACATTCTGCAGCTCTAATGATTGAGCTTTGAACTCACTGACTACCCCTCATTGCTTCTTCCATCGTCTCTTTTAGTGTCAATAGAGGCACAGGTGTTCCTAAGGAGAAAAAAAGTAAAAAAAAAAAAGAAAAAGAAAAAAGCATGCCGTAAATAAACAGGCAAGCAACACAGAGAGCATATGAGGAAAGATGTTTTCTCATTATTGTCAATTGATGAGATGGACTATTTAGTGTATTTTTTTTGGTTGGAATTTCTACTTCTGTTCCAGGAAAGCTAATTTTCTACTAATTTCTCTCTGTGTGACTGCTGCTCATGTTGCCTTTTCTTAGCCTTTTAGAACATCCACCTTTCTCCCTGCAATCAGGGAAGATTGTGTGAATGATGAGACTGCACGCATTAGAGAATCATCTTATCTGCAAAATTGTGCGGAGTTCTTACTCTTCAGCTTTAAATAAGAGATGTCTTTACGGTGGTGGCATTTGCTACGGAAGCTGAAGCCTGCAAAAAAAAAAAAAAAAAAAAAATTACATACTCTTTAATTCTTGTTTCATAAGAAGCTCTTGTACTGAGGAGGAAATGACATTGGAAACAAATAGCATGATTTTAAGATACATCACCAATGCTATCATTTTTGCCTTCATGCAGCCAGTGCTCATTTCTATAAATGACAGAGGCACATGTGACAGAAATGAATGGGAACAAATAAAGAGTGTTGCACACATGGAAAAAGGGGCCAAAGAACCAACTCACAGCCAGGAACATGCAGACCCCCAGCCGAGAGACCTCGGCAGGGTTAGTTGGCAGGATTTGACAGCCAAGTCCTCCTAACTGCACTCAGTAGCCCCACTGGGAGTTGTTGTTCAGGAGAGTATGTGAAGGTTGGTACATGTCGCCCCACTATGCAGGAGCAAATGACTGATGCAGATCCCACTGTGCATGCACACACCAGAAATACAGATCACAGGTCTTGAGAATCCTGTATCAGACACTTCTGAAGCAGCTTGAGTTTGAGTTGAGAAAAATAATCAAACGTAGAATGAAAATAAGGGGAAAAAAAGAATACTTTATCGTCATTGCAGTTACCTAAACTAAAATTATTTCCTGCTTCCTCACAAAATGAACGATGTTTACTAGATAAAAAATCCAGTAAGAAAAACAACTGGGCCTCTCTGCTTAGCCCCCTCATCTGCAGAGACCCCTAATTTGGGGGCAATAGCATTGGTTTCCACAGACTCTGGGGATCAAACTGCTGCCCCCTAAATTTTACCTCAGAGAAGCAGAAACGATGGATGGATGGATGGATGGATGGATGGATGGATGGATGGATGGATGGATGGATGGATGGATGGATGGATGGATGATAAATAGTGTCATAACCCATGTATTGTCATATTGCACTAATCAGTATGGGGTTGTGTGGCTGATAGAAGTTGTCGTTCTTGAAAATAATCTGTTCCTCACCCATGTAGTGCATGTTTCTAAAAGGCGCTATCTCTTTCCTCATGGCAGAATGTCAATCAGTGAACGCCTCGGGTGAGTTACAGCAGTGCCGAGAGTCTTTGACTTCTGCTGCAGCTGGTCATGATACAGAGTTGAGGGGTGACAGTGTACTCCTTGTGACCCGTAGTGCTGTGTTTATTACCCAGGACAGGTTCAGTACAGCAGTGATACTCTCTGTAGTGCTCCAACAAAAATTCTCCAACAGCTAAGATGGTATATTGGCCATTTTCAGCCTCAGGAAGAAAAGAGCCTTTGCTGAGCATTCTTTACAGGGCTAGCAGTTTGTTTTTTTTCTTTTTTAACTATGTCTGATCCTCACTGGTGTGAATTGGATGGACACCACTTGTTTATTATAATACAGTTATTGCCTGTACAACATTCAACCAGATGTTGAGTCTCCTACCTGCATTTACACCTGAGGGTGGGGTGGCATCATTTGGAAATTTGATTATGGTGTTGGAAGAGTGTGCATGCGTGCGTGCGTGCATGCGTGCGTGCGTGCGTGTGTGTATGGTGGGAGGTGTCAGTCATTGTAAAGAGAGTAAGAACGACTGGACTCAACACAAAGCCCTGTAGCACACCTATAAGTTCAGAGTTATGGATGATGATGTCTGGCTTCCCATTCCTGACATTTTGTGATCCGTTACTGGAAAAAAAAAATCAACAATTAATTCACATAGAGTGTTGGGCAGTCCAAGGCTGGTGAGTTTATTAAATAGTTTGTGAGGGATAATAGTGATAAAGGCAGAACTGAAGTTCACAAATACAGAGCGCCAGGTGGGATGAGGGCGACTGAATGAAACATGATGCATCTTCAACAGACTCAGTTTGCTCGGTAAACATCCAGGCAGCCGGTAGGATCCCTGGATGTGCAATACCACTCTCTGAAAGCAGCTCATTATGGTGTAAGGCCTACTTAGACGGTAGTTGTTGAGGCTGGTGGCTGATGTTTTCTTTGGCAGTGGGATGAATGTGGTGGTTTTGAAGCAAATTATGACCACTGACGCGTGCTGTAATGAGAGACCAAATATATCAGTACACTTGAGGTGTGTGCTCACCTTGCTGTGAAACAAAAGGGCTCTAATGGTCAGCATAACCTCAGTGCAGAATTTGATGTAATTAAAGCCAGCCTGAGTCAGCTCCCTGTGAAAGCACACCCTGTGTATGCTTTCAAAACAGTCCCGTAATGTTACAACCTCTCTATCCTCACAAATGCTGGGGTTTTGTGAACCACAGGTTTGTATGATAGATTCAGGATCAATGAAATGTGATCTGTTGTCTGTCATCCCCAGGATGTTTGTGATGGCACAGCTTTGTACGATCACAGGACGTTTGCATATAGTTGGGCAGAGATATTTTTGTTTCTGGCCAGAAAGCATACATTTTTATGGCACTTGGGTATGACTGCTGTCATATCTGCATTATTAAAGTCTTTAGGATGAGCATTCATCTGGATGATAAGAAAGCTATGCAGCTCTTCCAGTGCTGGGCCAGTGTTAGCTTGCAGTGAGATGTAAATAGCTATACAAAATATAGAAGTAATGCCTGTCAGTCGATAAAATACCCTGCATAAGGCACTCTTGATGTAGAGAGCAATGTTTCCCCATAACATTTACTGCAATACACCTGTCATTGTTGATATGGTTACTAACTCCAGTTGGTATCCAGATGCGAACTCTAGTTTTACCAGAGTTTGCAGATCTATCTGCCCAATAGACTGTGTGGCCAGCTTAGCGAATAGCCTCAAAATTTGGTAGTGCAAGTTAACGTAGGTTAGCTTTCAGACTCGCATGGAGGCCACTCCACTTGCCCCTAATTGTGCTTCACTTAATTGCTCCTCTTCAGTTTGAAAAGGAGTAGGAAAAATGCCCAGGCTTATTATATTATTCTCTTCACTCCTCCAGAACATCCACCATGTGGCTATGTTTTGTCTGAAAGTGATGTTCTATTAAGTTTGTGTCAAGCTGTTTTGTTTTCTGTTTTCTCTCCTCAGGTGTTGGCGCAGCCTCGGTACTGTGGACCTCCCAGTAAAAATGAGCCCACTTGACACATCCAACACCACAGCAGAAGTGGAGCCTGGCGAAAGCGATCTGCCGTTTTGGTTCAACGACAGCTTTGACTCATTCCAGCCCGGTTTCAGCTCTGATATCACCAAGCACCTTGGAGTCCAAATCACTCTAATAATGGCTTATTCCTTAATAATCCTGCTGGGGCTGCTGGGCAATTCCCTGGTCATCTACATGATTATTCGCTACAGAAACATGCGGACAGTGACCAACTACTTCATAGCCAACCTGGCCTTAGCAGACCTTCTGATGGTCACTCTTTGCCTGCCCTTTACTCTGATCTACACTCTGCTGGATGAATGGAAGTTCGGTGCCGTGTTGTGCCACATGGTCCCGTTTGCCCAAGCGCTGAGTGTTCATGTGTCCATCCTGACCCTGACTGTCATAGCGCTGGAGCGTTACCGCTGCATTGTCTTCCACCTTGGTCGACGCCTGACCTGGCATTCCAGCCTCTTCATCATGGCATTCACCTGGACTATTTCTTCTGTCCTGGCAGCTCCTCTTGCCATCTTCAGGGAATATCGCTATGAAGAGATTCCTCCTATCAATCTGCGCATGCCTGTCTGCTCTGAGAAGTGGCCCCACGGCATCAACAGGGACGGAGTCATCTACAGCCTCTCAATGATCCTACTGCTGTACATTCTTCCTTTAGCAATCATCAGTTACGCCTACATATGCATTTGGGTCAAACTGAAAAACCACGTCAGTCCGTCCAGCCGAAACGACAGCATCAACCGACGCAAGAAAACCACAAAGATGCTGGTGCTGGTGGTGGTGGTGTTTGCAACCAGTTGGCTGCCTTTACATGTGCTCCAGCTGGCCACTGATCTGGACTTGGTGCTCCGGTTTGAGGAGTATAAGCTCATCTTCACTGTGTTCCACATCGTGGCTATGTGCCCTACCTTCACTAACCCTCTTCTCTATGGATGGATGAATAAAAACTACAGAAATGGCTTCATAATGGTGTTCCGTTGCGAGGACAAGGCAGATACTTTCCACCCCGATGGGTCGTTCAGGACATGCTCTGTGAGAAGGCCCACGCTGAACGGTCGTAACAGCAGACACCCTCCCACTGCTGTATGAGATTTGTTTTGTTTAAAAGCAGAATTTTAGCACATTAGCTGGACTTCTGCTTTAAGGGGTGTGTGGTTCTCAAGAAGCCTTTTGACTTAAAAGAACTGACCGATGGGTGCATTTCAATTGTATCTATCCCGAAGCTTTCAGCTCCTTGTTGGTTTTCATTTGTCATTTGTCCACAAAAGTTCAAAGTACAGGTACCTTAGATGTGTCACTTACTTCTGGTCAATACTGAACTTCTGAGATGTCGCTACTGCTCACAGTGTCTTCAAAGTAAAAAAACAAGGCAAAACAAAACTACATGTTCACTTATGCTTTTGGTCTAGTGTTTCCAGCTGAATAAATTCCAGCTGGAAAAATGTGTTATTGTTAGCAAAGGCCTGGCTATTTGCACAACTATGATAAAATTAGGAGATGGTTTTCTAAATGATACCAATAAAGCATAATTTTCTGACAATTTTTGAACACTGGGTACATTATAAAACAGCAGTAAGATAACTACCAATCATGTGAAATCCTTAAGCTGCTCTCACACTATTTTCTGTCTTGCCATGTGTGCTGGGCCTTAAAAAGGACAAAGCAGGACAAAAAGGTATCATTTTGGAAACATCAAATCGTATCACAGTTTTGATGGATGTTTGTCACTTTTGACATGTCCTCACTTTGCATAATGCATAAAAATTGGGATTACATGGAGCAGTATTGTGTAAAATCTACTTTTTTAGCTTCAGATCATGTTATAGTGTTATTTCCTCATCTAAAGCCATGCCTGGAGTGTTGCTTTGATTCTTTCATGCATGCTTGAGAAATCCTTTAATCTCATTTTGCACAATCATTCAGATGTACAAAACTCTTGGTGGGACTGAGAACCGTCTTCGAGGATGAATCTCCTCCTCAGAGCTGCAGTTCCCACGCTTCTGAGCCTCTTCTTCACAGATCTCTGCAACTTCCTCACTCAGCTCCTTCAGACTAGCCAGCACATTTAGCCAACACCTGGTGGAACTGTACATCTGCTGATTTCATTATACCTGCTATTTCTCAATGCAAAGTTGGTAAAAACGTTGTTAAAGGTTCTATGGAGGAGTGATGTTGTGATGACTTCCTGAAAGTTGAGTGCTGGAAAGAGTGGGATGGGACATTCTCAAAGAGAATTTTTCAAGGCATGAAAAATTATGTGAAATGTTTAAGCTGCTCTCGCACTATTTTCTATCTTTCCACAATTGAAAATAGTGTGAGAGCAAATTTATTTTAAGTCATATTTGATACGTACAGCAATTCCAAAACAACTGAAGGTAAAATAGTTACTTGATTGTGTCATAAAATTATTCTATAGCGCTGATGTGCTATAGAATAATAGCACATCACATGACTATTCGTCATAGGGAGTTATTTTACTTTTTTCCATTACATAAGCTATTTTTTATTCATCTATACTTAGGAATCAACCGAATGTCTGAGAATGAAGTGTCAGTGATCTATGAATGCTATGAGGAATTATTAGAGTAATTAATCAGAAAACTGGTTGTGCCATCAGTTGTACTTTTAGTTTCAAGCATTCAAGCAAATCTGCATGAGCACTGACGGAGTTCTCACATGAACATGCTAGCATTAAGTTATTGGTGTCATATTTGACCAATGGCACGCTTACGATTTGTAAACACACAAGTCCCAAAAAAATCTGTAGCAGCCTGCCATAGCTAGTGACCGTGTTATGTTACTTAATATTTTTTCATTGATTACTTCATTTATCTATAGTCAAGTGCTGAGTGTCAACAAATTTTGAACACGTCAACATTTTTAACCAGGGCTAGTTTACAACGTCTTTCTCCAGTTGGGCTTTCGGTCAAACATACAATGGTTTTTATATTAACTATCCTTCAGTATTAAACGCAAGGACAAGTGATGCTGGAAAGTGATTTGCCTAAGGCTGTATGTAATCCCACCCTAATAAAACACTTGGCAGATAAGCAACAGTGTGACAAAGGTGTTAACTATTCAGAAATGGCTAACAACCTTTCAAAGCTCCACCCTTTCGAGGGTGTTTTCAAAAGTGCTACCTCCCTACCCTGAACCCTGCAGCTTAAATGAGAGGAGACAAGAGATAAGAACCCCTCCACATAGAGACAATGGTTGACACATGGCTTTGGTCACTAAAGAGGGCCCAATGCTTTGCATGCAAATCTCTTTATAGGGCTCCTTGTTGAATTGTGAGTGGTACTTGTAAAGTACATATCTAATTTATTCAAATATGTATCTAAAATGTTTACCTATGTCTTATGAAAACATGTTCCGCTGTATGTACAAAATTCTTGTTGCTAAATAATGTTGAACTTTGCAGTATATTTTCTAGCGAGAAGGCAGAGATTTATGTGACAGTGAATGTAGGCTTCTCATGATACTTCGGTAATTGTTTTCGCATTCATCCAAATCCTCTAATCTGGAAAAATAAAACTGTTCCAGCTCAGCAACATTCAATCCTCTTCCAAGAAATCCAAAAGGCAACGTCACTAATATTCTGTACAAACAGGAAGTTAATTGTTCTCACCTGGCCACCATCTGTTCTTGATTAAGGAGAGCAGTGGGACTCTGTGTCCAGAAGAATGGGACTGGAAACCAGCGACCTGTGTGACGCCAGGGCAGCACACTGTTGATGTCTTCATTACAAAATCTTGTTCAAGGGGATGTAAAAAGAACATGCAATTCTGTGTTCATTACACTGCTGCTAAAGTGACCTTTCTGTTGATGCTACTTAATAAATGTGGGGACATGAATCAACAATGAGGCCTCTGGGCACGGGTGACACATTACAGCTGCTGTTTCTATAAAGACAACTTATTGTTTGTTCCTCTGTGTCAAATAAAGAGATCTTGGTTGTGTATGTCTTTATTCCCAGTGGCTACTGATTAAAGCAAAAATATGATCTGTGTAGTGTAGTCTCAAACTGAACAGTGATTTCATTTGGGTGTTTATATGAATCCTTGGGTTGGCAGCATGTTGCATCAGTATACAGGAAAAGATAGCCCTGAGATGATGGACTGGATTTATAAAAAAGGATTAAGTAAATCCAGTATAGCATTAAAATAGCAAAATTACTAGTATGACCCACACGTTTAAGTCAAAGAGAATAGCTATAACTAATGCATTACTGGTTCCTAACTCCCACATTGCAGATTTTCTGGTTTAAGCATATTATTTAATATATTTCAGGCTTCAAGCCTTAAAGAAGAAAAGCAAAATCTCTTCCTTCAAATTTACAGTATTTTCATATAGTCCGACATTTGTTAATATCAGTCACAGACAGAGCAGAAAATAAGAGTTTTATCTGAGTACTTCTTTGTAGTGACATTGTACCAAGGGCGTAGGTTCGGTCTAAGTTTTGGTGGGGACCTT